TCATCCAAATACCACAAAATATGCCTTTTCCCATACCAGTCTCTGCAAGTCTATCGCCCTTCCAATACTACCCAGGAGAATTGACAATCTCCTGAGGTCCCACTCCCCCCCACCCCATCTCCCTAAATCTCTATCTCTTACCCTCCCTCTCCACTCTCAAAATCCTTCCGGAAATCTCCCTCTGACTGCGTCTTCAGATACCTGCCTCCCATCTCCAATACTGCACGGGCTCCATCTTCATCTTCGTTAAGCATTTTTCCTTTGTGAAAAGGCGTTACAAGTGTCATTTGTTGTTCCAAACTTAAGTGCAAATAAAACAAACTCCTGTGCAACAGGGAGTGTGCATGAATGTGTAAGGGAACAAGAGAGAAAGAGAGATCAGCTATTTGTGAACCACAAACATTCCTAAGATTAGAGTCAGAGCTCCTCCTGCTCCTTTCACAATTGTCATCAGCAGTCAAAACCACAGCACTTACTGCCATCAAACATGTCCCAAAAGTGAAAGGAAAGTAGGTTAATCTCGTGCACCATCTAGTTGTCTTAGTTTCAATAATTCCACAGTAAATGCACCAATAGTTCCATAGTAAATGTAAGAATACGATAAAGAAGTGTTTTTCCCCTCATGAACCATGCCACAGTACATGAAGATAAAAAGCTACTTTCAAACAATCTGCTGTGCCACATGAAACTAACCCAAGTGTATGCAATATCGAAAGCACCATAACAATACAATCTAAAAAATTCAACATTCCTGATTCCAAATAAAAATTGATTCATTTACAGTAGTTTCCCATAGTCAATTCACTATACCAGTCCTCACATTACTGCTAATATAAAAAGGTTCATTCACATAATGTCTCCCAGTCTCATTCAGTCCCTCTTACCTAGATCCTCCCTCAGCCTGAATCTTTGTAATTCAGTTGCTTTATTCTCTTTCATTTCTTCTCACACTCATTCACTTGTTTCTAAACTTCTTGTCTCCTTAGAATCCAAGTGCTAAATCCGAAATCAATGTACACAGCTGAGCATCAGTTTTTTTGTTAGCCGGATGTCTGACACATGAAGACTGAAATACATTTGGTGCAAGACTTGTGATATGTTGCACTTTGTCTCATTCTGCATCAAAACACTTTGTGAAAGAGAATTACTTAAAATAACAGTTTACAAATCAAATTGCAGTTAAGAATGGTTCAAAATAGAAAATATTACTGCTAAAATGTAACTGCTTATATTTGCCTTAATGAGGGAAACCAATTCTTGTTTAATATATCACCAGGCAATTAAAACCCCACAATTAAAACCCCTACTCTTCTGCAAGAGTACAGAACTATGACTGTCATTCAGACACCAAGAACCATAATTCCACTAATAACTGGTTGGTGTTTGACAACCAGGGTCACGATCACTGCAAAAACAACCACAGCTGCCACATTTTTACAAGACAAACACAGAAATTATTCCTAGCTGGTGCCCAGCAGTAGAAGTGTGGGCTGCCAAAAAACAGTTAAAAGTGGGTGATGGCTGGTAAATTTCCTTCAATCTGTGTTTGTGAGTGAACCAATAATGCAAAAGTGGCACGAATAAAAAAAGTTGGATAATCTAGATGAGGACTTTTGTCTTCCTAGCATCATTCAATTCAATAAATCCTCTATGCACCCTCAAAAAAATCGAGTTAAAATCTGCATTAAGTAGAGTTGTACACGAGAATTCCCAAAATCAAAATTATGTTTTGGAATATATAATAATCCTTGCATTTGATAGAGCGCCATATCACACAGAGGATACAGCTCAAGATCCTGGCCCTCACCTTCAAAGCTTTCCATGGTCTTGCTCCCCCCTACCTCTGCGACCTCCTAAACCCCACTATCCTGCCCGCTCCCACCGCTCAGCGGGCTCCAGCCTGCTTCACGTCCCCCCGCCTCGCCCGTCCCAACTTGGTGGGCAGGCCTTATACCACTTCGCCCCCACCCTCTGGAACTCCACCCCGCCTCGCCCCCTCTCTTGCCTCCTTCAAGACCCATCTCAAGACCCTGCTCTTCGACTGTGCTTCCGATCACCCTGCTTCCCCCACCTGCCCCCCACCATCCCCGACCCCGGGTCCGAAACTCTGACTGTCCAGCACCTTGGGACGTCCTCCTGACATGAAAGGCGCTATACAAATGTAGTTTGTTGTTGTTGTTATCACAGCTTCGAGACTTCTCAAAGCACAAACAGTCGTGGATTAAGTGACCATACTGTTATTTTTTTGAAGGGATTATTACCCCTGAAAAAAGCGGAGCACACATCGACCAATAGGGATCGTACTTCCTGCTGGGTAAACAGAGGCGTGTGGAGTAACGTTGGCCCAACTTTTTGCCCTGCCCAGGAATCAAACCCAGGCCTTCTTGCTTGCAAGGCAAGTGCTTTAACCATAGGACTCCAAGACTATCAATTGAACATTTCTGGTGCTAATTTTGAAATTACTGCTGTAATTGTACTGTTCATAGAGTAATCGCGTGCACGAATTTCTCCTGCGATTTTCTGGATTGCCAATCTTTCACTTTCAATTTTTTTTAAATCCACCCCTTTCCAAGTAGGTCCTGCAGTTTTGCCAACTATAAATTCCAGATTGTCAATCAAAATTTTAAGAAAATTAATTCCCTGCAACTCCTAATTTTCTAAGCATTAGCCTATTTCACTTGGTAGCACTGTTGACTCCAAATCAGAAGGCTGCGGGTTTCATGCCTCACGAGACTTGGGAACTCACACCGTCTAGGCTGCCACTTCAATACAGGGCTGGGGACGTGCTGCATTGTTGGAGATGTTGTGCTTCGGAAGAGATGTTAAATTGAGGTCCCAATTGCCTATTTAAGTGGATGTTAAGAGCCTGCGGTATTATTTGAAAAGAGAAGGGGTTTTCTTACAGTGTCCGGCCAACAATCACCCAGATTAAATTGAACATACAGTTCATGACTGTTTGTGGGACAATGCAAATTGGCTGCCGTGATCACTTACACTATACTTTACAGTATATCCTGTGAAGCACTTTGACAATTCCTCCTAACATGAAGGGAGCTATATCAAATGTAATTTTTTTTATTAAAGTTTGTATATCCACTGATCTCCTCTAGAGTATTCCCCTCTACTCCTGAACCTACACCCACTTAGTCGCAGAAAGATAACAGGAATTATTCATCCCGTTTCATACACTTATCATAATTTGTTAAACACAGCAGAAAATAAGCAAAATAGAAATAATCTTCAAGCAATTCGGCCTGGGCTGAAAGAAGCTCAACAACCTAGCTAACAGGAGCTAACGCTGTCAAGTGAAGTTCAATTCAAACGTGTGTGCATAAGTAAAGAGGCACATGGATGAGATGGAATTTGCCAGGGGACAAGTTGAAATAGACCTAGGAGATTTAAATTGACGCATCGTCCAAATAATGTGAACATCAACAAACAATATGCCAGAGAGACTAACTTGCCATATAAAAAGAATACTTAACATTAGATACTATATATATGAGAGAGATAATGTATATTTGTAGGCAAATAACAGCCAATTCCAGTTACCAACTCAAAAAACAAATCAATTGAGCTCAGGGGAGCGGAAGGAGGGGTGGGCGAGGGGGAAAGGGGGGGCGGGCGAGCAGGGGCAGGGGGAAGGAGGGGCAAGGACACAAGCGAGGGTGCGAGGTGGGTGGACGAGGGGGAGGGAAGACCGCGGGGGGAAGGAGACGGGGGCGAGGGGTGACGTGGCGGGCGAGGGGCGGAGGGCGGGGACAGCGTGAGAGCGGCCCGAAGGCGGGGGAGTGGGTAAGGGGGACGGGCGAGGATGGGCTGGACCGGTCCGAAGATGGGGGAGGGGGGGCGGATGGGGGAGAGGGGGGGGGGGGGTGCAGGCGATGGGGAGGGGAGGGGGGGTGGGGGGTGCAGATGAAGCTGTGACCAGAGCCTCAGATCTGCTGCTGTCAATTGCAACAACGTGAGAGCCCCGCGCAGACGCAGAGCCACGAGCGGAGAGAGGGAGGGGAGGAGGAGGGGAGGGAAGGCCGTCTCAACATTTTGCACCATTTAAAATAAAGGCATTAAAATGAATTCACCTTCTCCCCCTCTCTCTCTCTCTCTCACACACACACACCTTCTCCCTCCCTCCCTCCCTCCTTCCCTCTCCCTCTCTCTCTCTTGAACGCAATTCCACACAATAAAAAAAAATGCATTGCGCAATTCATTGCAACACACACACACACACACACACACACAACCCCCCCCACCCCCCAACTCCATCAAAAAAATATACGGATATCTTAATTTTTTTTTATATAATAATAAAAAAAAAGAAAATAAGGCAAATGCTGGGTTTCCCGAAGAGAAGGCAGACTGACGTTGGGGAGAGAATTGCTGGAGGAGAAGGAAGGGAGTGAGGGAGGGAGGGAGTGGGGGCTTTTTTTTAAAAAAAGTTGTGAAATCCCCCCTCACCCACACCCACACACCCCCACACCCCACACTCACTCACTCACTCCTCTCTCTCCCTTATCAGTGGGGGGGGAGAAAAAACCCTCCTTCCAGGGCAGGGAAACCCGGGCGATCCTCACTCCCTCACACACACCCTCACACGCCGCAGCCTGCGCGGCCCTGGCGGCCAGAGCTGACCTGACCGACCCTCCCTCCCTCTCCTCCTTTCCAGAGCCTCCCCTCCCCTCCCTCGCCGCAGCCCCTCAAAATAAGAGGGGATGGGGGGGGGGCTCCAGCCGAGGCCGAGGCCCGGGGCCTGGGAGCAACGCCATACCCCCACCGCCATCACCACCCTCCCCCTCTCCCTCTGCCCTCGGGACCGAGGCCTGCAGGCGGCGGGAAGCGCTCCGGCCGTCTTCTCCCCCCCCAACCCCGACCCGGCAGCCACCGACCCTCCGTCCCTCCCTCCCTCGCTCGCTCCTCACACGACCGACCCGACACACACCGACCCTCGGTCCTCCCGCTCCCAGGGCCCCCCCCCCCGGCCGCGGGCCGCTGGTGTTTACCTCCACCGAGGCCTCCACTTTGCCCTCGAACGTGAAGTCGATCAGGTCGGGCTTCAGACACAGCGCGTAGTTGTTGGGGGTCACGTCGGTCGGCAACCGCTCGAACGGTCTCTTCTCCGGCATCTTGCGGCGCGCGAGGAGGCGGGAGCTGTTGGCTCGAGCGCTTCGCTCCGGACAGAGGGCGGTCGGCGGCGGCGGCGGCGGAAGGAGAGGACGACGACGACGTCGATGAGGAGGTGGTGGTGGAGGAGGAGGAGGAGGAAAAGGCGGCGCGAGGCAGTCAGGCGGCGGGTTTGGACGGTCTGAGGGAGGCAGCGGCGGAGGAGGAGGAGGAGGTGGGAGGAGGAGGAGAAGGAGGAGGGCGGCGAAGGTGGTGGTGGCGGCGGCGGCGGCGAACGAGGCGGCGGAGGAGGCGAGCGGGTGGCGAAGGACGAGAGCCGCGGCGCCGCCGAGCAACATCAATGAAGCTGACAACCGACCGACCGACACCCCCCCACCACCCCTCCCCCTCCGCGTGCCGTGCGTGGCGTGAGCGAGCGAGGCGGACGTACGGACGTACGCACAGAACAGCACGTACGCGTGGCCCCTCCACCCAAGTTGGTTATTCCATTGGGTGAGGGATGGGGGAGTTGGGGATGGGGGGGATGGGGATGGGGGGTTGTGGGGATGGGGGGGTTGGGGGATGGGGGGGATGGGGGGTTGGGGGGGGGATGGGGGGGATGGGGGGTTGGGGGGGAGGGGATGGGGGGGTTGGGGGGGAGGGGATGGGGGGTTGGGGGGGAGGGGATGGGGGGAGGGGGGATGGGGGGTTGGGGGAGGGATGGGGGGTTGGGGGAGGGGATGTGGCGGGGGAGGGGATTGGGGTGAGGGGATGGGGGGTTGGGGGAGGGGATGTGGCGGGGGAGGGGATTGGGGTGAGGGGATGGGGGGTTGGGGGAGGGGATGTGGCGGGGGAGGGGATTGGGGTGAGGGATGGAGGGGTTGGGGGAGGGGATGTGGCGGGGGAGGGGATTGGGGTGAGGGGATGGGGGGGTTGGGGGAGGGGATGTGGCGGGGAGGGGATTGGGGTGAGGGGATGGGGAGGTTGGGGGGAGGGGATGGGGGGTTTGGAGTGAGATTGGGTACGGAGAGAGAGAGAGTCATAGTGGTGGGGAAACAGTCACTTTACAGTGTATTCTGTGAAGCACTTTGAGAGCGCCGCGAAGATGCGTTAAAGGCGCTATTGGGTTCCGTGACTGCGAAGAGCTCTGAGACGCCGTTCCGACACGGAGGGCGCTATATAAATCCAAGTCGTCGTCGTCGTTGTTTGTATATCAAATGCAAGGATTATTATTATTATTGACAACAACAACCACAAGATTGTATTTGTATAGCGCCTTTCACGTTGGGAGGACGTCCCAAGGCGCTGGACAGTGGACAGCATTTCAGACCTGAGCCGGGGTCGGGAGGGGAGGGGAAAGGGAGGGGGTGACCGATGGCAGGGTCGAAGATGAGGGTTTTGAGGCCGGACTTGAAGGAGGCTAAGGAGGGAGCGAGGCGGAGTGATTGGGGGATGGAGTTCCAGAGGTTGGGGGCAGAGTGGCTGAAGGCTCTCCTGCCAATGGTGGGGCGGGTGGGTCGAGGAGCAGCCAGAGCCGGCTGAACGGAGGGAGCGGGCGGGTTGGTAGGGGGTTAGGAGGTCACAGAGATCGGGTGGGGTGAGGCCGTGGAGGTCTTTGTAGGTGAGCACCAGGATCTTGAACTGGATCCTCTGAAGGATAGGGAGCCTGGAGGTGAGGAAGGCATGAACAAGAGTTCCGAGACGCCCAGAGGGCGAGAGAGGGAGAGGGCTGATGTTTTCCACGTGTTCATTGATTACGAGGGACTGTAGGAGGGTGGGGGGGTCATGTCCAGAAAATAAAACTTGCATCAAGAGTTTTAATAAGAAAAAAAAGTTTATTTTGATAAGGTAGCCAACCTATAATGACCAACTAGTGACTCCCCTCCTGGGGGAGGGAGGTAAGAGGGGTCTCCTTGGCGCTGAATTAGCTCCAAAGTGGCATCTTGGTAATTGTATGTTGGAATGAAATTAATCCTCTGAGTGGAGTTCTCAATTCCTGAGCCCGGTGGGTCCGCAGTATTCCAGGGCACTGTTGATGACAGCACGGCCCAGTCTGGCTCAATTGGAGTGGAGGAGCAGATCAAGTGACTTGGGTGCAATAATAACAACAAATTAAATATATATAGCGCTTTTCACGTCGGGAGGACATCCCAAGGACAAGCATTCTCTCACTCGGCACCCGTTAACCCTGCAAGGCAAACCCCTAAGGGGGTAGGGTGGCCCAGGCAAAGCTTGCCAGACAGTCAATATCACCCACAATGTAATGATTGGAATTAGGTTTTCCCAAGTGATAACTGCTCTTAAAATAACAATGGCAGGCTCACCATTTACTTAATTCGCTGACCAGAAATTTTAAAGAACACAAAGAGTTCAAAGTCTGTGTGTCTCACTGGTAAATTTTTACTCATTCAACAGTACAAATTTACTTGTGTTGCAGAATAATAGCCCTGACAGAGCAATGGTAGATAGATGGATGCCTAGAACTGATGATAAGGCAGTAATCTATTCAAAGAGCTTAGGTAAATTGGCTGGTTTGTTGGAGTCTCTGCTTGCGCTCAGTTCAATGCAATTCAAACGTTTTCAGCAACAACATATTGGGTAGGATGGAGAGGGATAATTAGCAGTGCACGTTCCAGGCATTTCTTGTCGACTTGTGACACTTCTTTTCGCTACTTATAAAATAAGCCTTGCATTTGATCGAGAGCCTTTTACGTCAGGAGGACGTGTCAAAGGGCTTCATGAGGAAAACACAAATTGTCTGTCACGTGCACCTACAAAATACACTATATAAGTTACCATGTTTTACAGTAAATCTTGTGATGTGCCTTTAGATATCCCACTGATGAGGTGATGTAACAAATTATTATCATATTTATTTAATGTAAACTATATCCAATAATAACTTTCAAAGGGGAGTTGGATATTTACTTGAAAATAAAAAAATGCAACGCTATGGGGTAAGAGCGGGGCAGTGAGACAAGTTGATAGCGCTTTCAAAGAGCCATCACAGCCACGATGGGCTGAATGGTCTCCTTCTGGCTGTAGGATTCTATGATTCTACAGTGACTGTATTTTGTACGTGAACATGCAGCTAACGTGCACACAGCAATATCCCACAAACAGCCATGAAGTGTATGATCAATTTTGTTTGGGGGATGGTTGGTCAAGACACCGGGAGAGAGAAACTCTTCTCTTTTCAAATAATCCCATGGGATTTTTCACGTCCACCTGAACAGACAAGTGGGACATTTGTTTAACATCTCCTTAAAAGGATGGCACTACCAATAACGTAGCACATCCAGGCATCGTCAGTCTGGACTATATGGATTCCAGTATCCGACATGGAGACTTAAGCGCACAACCTTGTGACTCAGAGACAAGAGAGCCACCCACTGAGCCAATCTTTTACCGGAAGTTTGAATCACCCCGAACAATAGTCTTAACCAAAAGGATGTGGTTATGAGTCACTGCCAAATTCAATATTATAGGTCGGTATGGCTCAGAGTCATGAGAAAAACTCAAAGGTATTAATTGAGCCATAAATGTCTCAGGTTCAACCACTGGCCTTTGCTAAATTATCCATCCAGAATATCTGGACCTGGATTACAATTGATCTCCTGACTAAGTAAGATAAGATCAGCCACGATATCCATTCCTGATTACTTTTCACTAACCCCTGTTCAAAATTCCTCATGTTTGGAATTGAAAGGGAACAGGGTTATTTCAGCAACGCTATATTAATTTGAGAAATTAGATCTGAAGCAATACTTTCGACGACAAAAACAAATTACCTTGATACAGTGCCTTTCACGACAGCAGGTCATCCCAAAGCACTGGATAGTCAAGGGTTTGTACCCGAGCTGGGGGATGGAATCCAAAGCGTTGGAGGTTGGGGAGTGTGTGGCTGAAGACCTGGTCAAATAGGAAGGTTTTGAGGTTGTGCTACCTTGATTTCAGATATCTAGATAGCACGATAAGAGCCTATACAGAACCTGGTTCAGAAGGACAAGAGAGCACAGGTTCAGTAGTATGATGGGCAATATTTCTTTATACAGAGGATAATCAACAGGTTAGATGATTACAAGACCACAGAGATGTTCAGATGAAGTTGTCCCATGGGTTATTTGATCTCACCCTTCCAGAAAACTCGCCTTACCGTTATCATCGCAAGCTGTTTCTTAAATAAATCCAGGGTCCTAGCTTCAAGCACCTTTCCTGGTACACAAATGGGCTGCCATATTACCATTTTACAGCAATTCTCTCTTTGAGTCAGTTTGATATTGTAGGTGCTTTTTTTAAAAAATAAGAATGGACATCTGAATGTGATTATCAAGGAATAATCTTCCCAAATGATTCGCACATAACAATAATCCTTTGATGTAATGTCTTTCACGTTGGGAGTACTTCTCAAAACGCTTCACAGGATTCTACAAGATCACATGTTGATTTTACAAGATCATCCATTGGTTTTATCAGCCAATCTGATCTCATCCCTCCAGAATACCCACCCTACCCTCCTCCCACCATAGCATCAAGCTGCTTTTTAAATGAATCCATTGACCTGGCTGCAATCACCCTTCCTGACAAACTGTTCCAGTCATTAACTACCCTTCCATGTCTGGGATTTCCATGTGTAGGTGGGATGCATGGACTTCTCAGCTTGGTTTGGATACTCTTAAGCAACGGCTGACCAAAAATAAAGTTAATTATCCTCTAAGTAAAGAAACAGTGAAATGGAGTGACTGTGTATTTTGCAGCTGAATGAGAAGCAAATTTGTACACAGCAATAATAATAATAATAATAATCCTTGCATTTGATATAGCGCTTTTCACGTCGGGAGGACGTCCCAAAGCGCTTCACAGAACACACTGTAAAGTGAATTGACTGTATATTTGTGGGCGAACGCGGCAGCCAATTGCGCACAGCAATGACCCACAAACAGTCGTAGATTGAAAATGACCAATTTATTATTGTTTTGGTTTTGGAGGGATTATTCTTAGGCTCTGTGTGGAGTAAGGAAACTTGCCCAAGGTTTGGCCCTCTGCCTGGAATTGAACTCAGGTCTCTCACTTGCAAAGCGAGTGCTCTAACCACTGAGCTACAGGACTCCAATGTCCCACAAAGAACCATAAAGTGATTTATTTGGGGTATTATTGG